AATAAAAGTCAATGTTTAAAGTATGAATTGTTTTATTCAGACATTGCAAATGGATGTGGAGACTACATATTATCTCTTCTCATTTTTTTAGATACCTGTATTTGCCGTAATATTTATGTTGCTAACTTAATATATATAACTATTGCATCATTGATTTTGATTGGTACTTTTTTTTGAAGGAATTGTGCGTCAACAAAGCAGTGCTGCTGAAAGTTTCAATCCTCCAAAGCTTAGGAGGAATGCTTCTGCTGCATCTGATATAAGTAGCACTGCTTCCCAGGGTGGTCCAACACTTCCAGGTTATACTTTAGAAATATAGGTTGCCTTATTAATCAATAATGAAGATGCTACTAATCCAGCTAAAAGATTAATGTCACATATTACAGAAACTAGTTCCATAATTTTGTACATAAGGAATGTTGAGAAGCTCGTTCTTCAATCAAGGTTATATTACAGTTAACTATTTATTTATTTCAGTTTTAAATATTTTTATTAATATAGATAAAATTCTTAATTAGGCATTTTTATAATATTTTATTTATGCAAGTAAGAATACTTATGTTCATTTTAAGTTTTATTATATTCTATTTTATATATGTAAAATTAAATAGTTATATGTGTTTCGTGGAAACTAATTATACTTTGTTTTGTTAACTGAAAGCAGTATAAAATTGTTATATGTGTGTTATGTTCTATGTTTTGGTTGATCATTCATAAAAGAGACTGTTATGTGTGTTAGAATGTGATTGATTATATTATGTATCTGTGAATTGACTACATGAGTCAAGAAATATATGTGGGAAGTTACTCTGCTTAAGTGTAGAATTAAGACATTTCAGAAATTATGATATGTGTATGGTAGCCTTCAATTGATTAGGAAATGGGTATAATGTCGTAAGCAACATGGTATGAATGGAATGCTATCATGTATAAATTAACTGCGTAATCAGCTACTGTAATTTTTAGGGGTAACATTGATATTGTTTCAAACAACATTTGGGTTAAATAAGCATGCATAAGGTTGTGGGTTGAAATATAATAATGAGGTATAGTGTGTAGTGAAAACTGGTTGCATTGATGACTTAAAAGCATTATAATGTGACTGTAAGGGCATGAATTTACGCTGTTAAAATATAGAATCTTGATGTATATAGTGAAAATTGATTAAATCAAGTTTAATAGACATAAAGTAGTTATTATCAAATTAAACATGCTTGGTTTACCTAAATGAACTTGCTATGTGTCTTATTGGAGGAGTTGCATGATCAAAATAATATTAGGTGTTGTAATGGAAGGAATCTAAGTATTTGTAGCATTTCCTAATAACTTAGAGTTGTTGGTTGTATGGAAAAAAAAGGCTGCTAGTATACAGATTAAAGATTAGATTATTGATATATCATGCATTCTGGTATTATATAATTCAATGATGATTAAATTGTGAAATGGACCGTAGAGTGACATGTTAGTCTGATGAATGATGTGTATTATGAAACTTAGTTGTGTAAATGGTTGTCCGAGACCTGCAAGTGCTGGAAATTTAATTCTATACGTGTTCAATAATGTGTTGGTTTTGGGTGAAGCTAGCTAAGATTTCCATGATATAAGTATATTTTGATTGCTAAATACTGTTGGTTTCTGTTTTTCATATAAAAATAAAATTTTCAAATATACCTCTGGAGGTATACTTGTTAAGCGAGACAATTCATTTGAATAAAAAATATTAATTATTAAATTTAACCAAGAATAATCAGAATTATAACATTACACCAAAGAAAAAAATCACCTAAACACTGAGACTGAAATTGCAATGAATGAAATTCACTGCCAATGACCACATCTATTGATAGATAACAGACGTATCAATGTTTTAACACGAAAAACTGCAAATTCTGCTATTGATCAGTAAACTCTAATGATAATACATGGTAAAGGTTAAGAGCATAAGGAAATTTTCCCATCACCAATAAAATTATAACACTGTTCGTGCTTATTAGCCTTTACTCTGATAACATCAATCTATAATTTGTTGTGTCAAGGAATTGTAGTTGTTTTTCTTCAATCATGCAGTATCCTGGAACAACGTCCATGCCTTCCGTCGATCACAAAGTTCATCTCTTCTAACTCACCAATTACAACTAATAAATAAAATTTTGGTAAACTAGTTTAATCACTACATAATTTTGAACCTAAACAGCTGCACCGAAATCATCGTCCCTGCAAGATGAGCATTACCATCACTTTGCCATATATTCAAAACTATTAACAACCTTATATTTGAATATTCCAAGCCATGGCAGGGTAAATATATGGACTCTCAAACGACCAACAGGGAAGTTATTTATCATCAACTAAAGACATTACAGGAATTCCCTTGTTAGAAAAGCTTGAGCACACCACTCGCATCTCATCGCCTATTGTAAAGTCCATACTATTATTTTCCTGCACGATAGAACAGTAACAGGTTAGCAAGTGAATTGAATGGCTCATGGTGCAGACAGAAAGACAATACAAAGATGGATTCCTACCTCAAACCGGTACACTCCTCGAACTCCTCCACCCAAATCCAACACAAACCCCTGTGCACGAATTTGATATACTTTAGCAGTTACTATGGTTCCAACTTCAAGATCTTTTGCAGTTACAGAAGCCTTATCTTTGCAGTCTTCTTAGCATTAGTATATGGCAAGGGACCTGAATGAGAAGTTGAAGAATCGATAACATCTTGAGATTTACGAGATTTTGATTTCGGTGCAGAATGAATTGCATTTTGAGATGGACGTGATTTTGACTTGCGATCCAATTGGACCCCATTATCTACTTGAGGAACTTTGGAAGATTTCTCCTCTTCATCACACTCGGCAGCACTACGTATTACAATTACTGGTACTTGGGAGGTTGGGGATTTTGCTTCACCCGACTCAAGATCACCTAAAGACAACTGAGAAGCAGAATTTTGTTGTTCTTGTACTCTAGACGCATTCCCGTCTGTTTCTTTTGCGGACGTAACAGATCCTTCAGTTACATCATTAGTCTCCAATATTCCAGGACGAGGAAAAGTTGCTTTAAGGGATAATTTGATGTTACCATAAACATCTTGGCCTATGCACATCAAAGAAAGCTTCTGGCCAACAGAGACAACCTCTGAAACTCGGGAAAACTATGTATGCAGTCACTAAAGACAAATTATAACATACAAATTGTTTTGCCTGCTATTAGCAGACCCAACACACGACCCTTAACGACAACCAAATAAAATAGTTAAAATCATACATACAGGTTCATATGACAACTCAGAAATGTGGAGTAAGCCTTGGTGGCCACCATTAAACTCCACAAAAGCGCCGTATTCTTTTATATTGGTGACAATACCTGTGTAGATACCTCCAACTTCAATTTCACGGCCCACAATAAAATCAACCTGGCAAACAAGAGGATTGAACTTCAGAATGAAAACCATTATGAAATATATGAGGGTGACATTTCACCATTTGTCATTGATATATCCATGACTTAGCATGTATATAAACAAAATGAAGAGCCACACATGACTCCCACCGAGTAGTATATATGAATATATGTAATTAATAATTCTTAAGGAAAGCATTACTTCATGATATTATCAATTTAACAGTGCATCAGCAACTCCTGATATAGGATAGACAATTATCTCACTTGTGACTAAAAGAATAAGACTCCAAACAAAAAGCACGATTGGATAAAAATTAATGGTTCAACAGAATGGAAGAAGTACCTTTTCTAGTACTTTGTCCATTACAGATTGATTCTTAGCAACTACTGTAAGTTCTCCATCGCCTACAGACATCCGTGCACCTGATTGGAGTGCATGATAACATGTTCAGTAAATTTGATCAATCACTCTAAGTATATATATATATATATATATATAT